TACATGAGAGGAATTACCCCACCCATGATCTTGAATTAGCAGCTGTGGTATTCACACTTAAGATTTGGAGACATTATTTGTATGGTTCAAAATTTGAGGTGTTTAGTGATCATAAGAGTCTTAGGTATTTATTTGACCAAAAAGAATTAAATATGAGGCAAAGGAGATGGTTGGAGTTCCTTAAGGACTATGATTTTGATCTTAATTATCATCCAGGAAAAGCTAATGTGGTAGCTGATGCCTTGAGTAGGAAATCTTTGCATTTGTCTTCTCTTATGATTAGGGAGATGGACCTTTTGACTCAATCTAGAGACTTAAGTCTGACTTGTGAAGTGACTTCACCACCGACATCCTCAGCCTCATGTTGATCATATGCATCATAAATTAAATATATACAAGAATAACAAGGGAGTGAGAAACTTCTCACCCAGTTTTAGATGTAGAAATAACAGTTAAATAGCACACACACATACACAAAAGGTATGCAGTACTACCCTTAAGTGTTCCTCATGCTCCTCTTTAGTCTTGGAATAAACTAGTATGTCATCTATAAAGACAACTACAAATTTATCCAAGTACGGATGAAGAATCCGGTTCATGTAGTCCATAAAAATTGCCGGAGCATTTGTCACACCAAAAGGCATTACTAGATACCCATAGTGTCCATAGCGAGTTCTAAATGCTGTCTTAGGTACATCCTCACTCTTAACTCTAATCTGATGGTATCCTGATCTAAGATCGATTTTACTAAACACACAAGCACCTACCAACTGATCCATAAAATCATCTATCCTAGGCAATGGATACTTGTTATTAATGGTCACTTTGTTCAACTGGCGATAATCCACACACAATCTCATGCTACCATCCTTCTTTTTGACTAAGAGTACGGGTGCTCCCCAAGGTGATACACTAGAAATAGGTCCTGCTCCTGGAACTAAATCTATGGAAAATTCTACTTCTCTTCAAGGTGATAAGCAAGACACCTCAAAAAAGACATCCGAAAAGTCACACAACAGGCAGTTCATTTACCAAAACATTTTTCTCATAATTTAAAGAAGCTAACAACATGTACACTTGGGCATCCGCTTGCACAGATACCTTAACTTGGTTGGCAGTCAAATAATCCTTACTCACTTTTTCAACACGTTCACCAAAAACAATAGATTTACAAGCACAGTTCGAAAGGACATGATTGGAAGATAACCAGTCCATACCTAGGATAACATCTAGTTGACTTAGTTAAAATCCAGAAAACTTACTCCTCAATTTATTGGTCCTTTTCAAATTCTAAAAAGAGTCGGCAATGTTTCCTATCAAATTGCCTTTCCTCCTAATCTGTCAAATCTTCATGATGTTTTTCATATTTCACAACTTTGAAAATACATCCATGATCCTTCGCATGTGATTGAGTCGGATCATATTGAGGTTAAGGAGACCTTGACGGTGGAAGCTACCCCGGTGAGAGTCGAGGATCGAATGGTAAAGTAACTTAGGGGTAAAGAAATTCCTTTGGTAAAAGTTATTTGAGGAGGAGCTACATAAGAAAGTGCTACTTAGGAACTAGAGGAGAAGATGAGAGTGTCATTTCCATTCTTATTTACTTCAGGTAATTTCGGGGAAGAAATTTCTAAAAGGAGGGGAGAAATGTAACATCCAAAATTTTATTCAATGAAAAGTGTATTTTTATGTTTTTATTATGTGAATAAGTATTTTATTCACGTATTTTACTATTCACATATTTTACTATTCATGTATTTTACTATTTACGTATTTATGAATAGTATTTTACTATGCACATGCACAGTAAATAGCTGCGGTTGCTACGGAGGGGGGGCTGCGGAATTCAAAATTTGAATTCCAAATTTATTAATTCGAATATAATAATGCATAGTAACATGCATAGTAACCTGCATAGTAACTTATAATATTATTATAAGGAATAGTAACTGATGAATAGTAACTTCATAATTTCTATAAATAGGAGCCTAGGGATTTTGAAAATTCATAACTAGAGAGAAGGAAAGTTTAGAGAGAAGGAAATTCTAGAGAGATAGAAAGGGAGAGTAAGAGAGGAGGTTTTGCTTAGGTTGTGAAAAGAGGAGGAGGATAGAGGAGGTTCTGTTCTAGTTCCGGTCCCGGTTTAAGAAAAAGAAGAGGAGGTTCTGCCCCTATTCATCCAGGTACGGGAGAAAAGAGGATTATTTATATGTAGAGTACATGAGGGAATTGGGTAGAGGAAGGTTGAGCCTCCTATTAATTTATAATTTGGAATTTATCTGAATGGAAGGCTGAGCCTCCTATTAATTTATAATTTGGAATTTATCTGAATGGAAGGCTGAGCCTCCTATTAATTTATAAATTGGAATTTATCCGAATGGAAGGCTAAGCCTCCTTATTCCCCGTTATTTCTTTTAAACTTCTTACTTTACTTGAGGTTTATAAATATGCCAAAGTGTAGGAATGATGATCTGGAAGGAAGAATGAATTATAAGGAAAATGCGGTGAGCTAGATTTTGGGAATAATTAGGGATTTTACTGTTATTCTATTAACTATTAGGTTAATGAAGGTTATTGCTATATTACTTGTTAAGAATGAATGATATTGATGTAATATGCTTGAGGGGTATGTAAACCCAACTTTGTTAAGTTTATTTGTTATATGGAATTATATACGTGTTATAAATTTGAATAATAAGATGAGATGTTTTATGGTTGTGATATGATTGTGATTGTGATGTCTCACATCGATGACTAGGGATGGCACGACTACTGGGTAAGTGGTGCTACAGGGAAGGTGTGATCCTAGTAATTTATACGTATTTTTGAATAGTAATTTATACAAAATTTCCGTGGATGAACAGTAAATTCTGCAAAAATCTCGTGAATGCACAGTGACCTGATGAATAGTAACTTATAATATTATAATAATGCATAGTAACCTGCATAGTAACTTAATAATTCCTATAAATAGGGGCTAGGGGCTCAAGGAAATTCATAACTAGAGAGAAGGAAATTCTAGAGAGATAGAAATGGAGAGTAAGAGAGAGGAGGAGAAAGAAAAGGAGGTTCTGCTCTAGTGCCGATCCTTGTTTAAGAAGAAAGAGGAAGAGATTCTGCCCTAGTTCCGATTTCCTTTTTAAGGATAGAAAGGAGGAGATTGTGCTCAAATTCTGTATATCTAGGTAAGGGGAGAGTGGGAAACCTCGCTTGGGGGTGTAGGGATAATTGTTAAATAGTTTGTTTGTTGGATTGGCTCCCGCTCCCTTTTCTATTGTTTGTTTTTTTGAAGAGGGATTATTAATGTATTTTATTTGTACTACTTAATTTCTTTGTTGTGATAATTAATAAATATGTAATTAATGGATAATTTCACTAAAGATGCTCCCTGTGAATACCTTTGAACATTTTATAAGGATATTAAATATCTAAGATAATCTTAACTACTAATTTTACTTTTATTATTTTAAATTATTCATTGAATGGAAGGTTGAGCCTCCTATTAATTTATAAATTAGAATTTATTATCTGAATGGAAGGCTGAGCCTCCTATTAAGTTATAAATTGGAATATATCATCTAAATGGAAGGTCGAGCCTCCTTATTTTCATTTATTTTCTATTAAGTTTCCTAGTTTACTTAAGGATTTAAATATACCATGAAAATATAAATTATATGATACCTAAGCTACCTTTGGACTATTGGACTATCGAACTAGATTATTGGACAATTGAAATAAAATATGATCAAAAGAATAAAATATGATAAACTTCTGTAATTAGTTGCATCATGAGTCAATGAATGTATGACATGCATCATATGCATATATGAATTCTAGGTGTGCCACTGAGGCCGCATACCAGTGATGCTAACAAGGTGTACCTTAGGGTCACCGACAGTTGTGATATTCTAACAAGGTGTACCTTAGGGTCATCGACAATTGTAATAAGGTGTACCTTTGGGTCACTGGTGATGATAAGTGAAACTTCCTTATGGCGCCACATGCATATCTTTGTGAGTCAAGTCAATGACATCATTGCATGATATATGAGCATATATGTGAAATTGATTATACCTTTTGTGTATGTGTGTGCTATTTAACTGTTATTTCTACATCTGAAACTAGGTGAGAAGTTTCTCACTCCATTGTTATTCTTGTATATATTTAATTTATGATGCAGATGATCAGCATGAGGCTGAGGATGTCGGTGGTGAAGCTTAGGCTTCTATGTGGGTTTCGCTCTGATAAGACATGTGACATCGGGGCATAAAGATTATTACAATACGGTGTTATTTTTATAAACATTATTTTGGAAACTTTACATTTTATTTCTTTGTAATTTCCGTACATTATATTATTTGTTAAGTTATGGATGTAGTACTCTCTATCTAAATGCATTTGAGTATATAATGTTATATTATTCAAATTTATTGTGTTTTAATATTCGGGGTAGAGGGTGTCACATTTAGTGGTATCAGAGCAGGTCGATTCTATCGGCCGTGAGTTATGTGTCTACTATGTTTATTTGATAAATGACTTGATTGTGAAATCTATTATGTTAGTTGCCTATGTCTATTAATTGCATTATTTCCTTAGATTATGGCTGGTAGAAATGATCGTGCGATTGCTGATGCTCTCCAAGCATTAGCCCAAGCTATGAACAACAACAATATGACTGGAGTTGCTCCTAACTGGTTGGAGCAATTTCAGAGGAATCATCCACCCACTTTCAAAGGAGGTTATGACCCAGAGGCTGCCATGAATTGGTTAACGGAGATTGAAAAGATCTTCAATGTTATGGATTGTCCCCTTACACAGAAGGTGAGGCTGGCCACCTTCATGCTGACTGCTGATGCTTACTTTTGGTGGGAAGGAGCACTTCGGAAGATAATTGATGGAGGTATGCACTTGAATTGGGAGAACTTCAAAAGAGTCTTTCTTGAGAAGTATTTTCCTGATGTTGTGAGAAGTCGGAAGAAAATGGAATTCCTTGAACTCAAACAAGGAAATGACACGGTGGACGCATATGCTGCTAAATTTGATGCTTTGGTCTGTTACTGTACACACTACCATGGTGAGGGTGGTGATAGGGCCAAATGTATAAAATTTGTTAATGGTCTACGTCCTGAGGTAAAAATGGCAATTAATTATCAGGAAATATATCACTTTCCCACTCTGGTCAATAAGTGCAGCATTTATGATCGTGACAACCGCGCTCTTGTAGCTTTTTATAAAGGAGCTGGAGGCCCCACTCGTACGGTGAATCCTAGTACCTCTGGTAGGAGTAAGCCTTACTCCACTCCTGCAAGATTTCAAGGGAGTATGGCTACTAATAATAAAAGTAAGCCTTTGTTAGAGAATCCACTATGAATACTACTATAAGTGTTGGAGGGTCTACTTCTTCAGGAAGATGTGGGAAGTGTGGACGTATGGGCCATAATAAATCTGAATGTCAGGACAAGGAGATTACTTGTTTCAACTACAGGGGTAAAGGTCATATTAGCACTCAATGTCCTGAACCGCCAAAAACACGTGTCATTGGATCGGGATCACAAACTGAACGTCCAAAGACTGTGGGAAGAGTATTTGCTCTTAGTAGTGTTGAAGCTGCTCGGTCAGAAAATTTGATACAAGGTACTTGTTTCATAGCTGAGATTCCTTTTGTTGTACTATTTGATTCTGGTGCAACTCATTCCTTTATCTCCATCTCTTGTGTCCAAAAATTGAATTTGCCTGTGTCTTTGTTAAATTTTGATTTAGTTGTTGAGACCCCCACTAATGGTCCTGTGAATACATCCTTAGTATGTTTAAAATGCCCTGTAACAATTTCTGATAAACAGTTTCTAATTGACTTAATCTGTTTTCCTCTTAGTCAATTAGATGTAATCCTTGGTATGGATTGGCTATCTTCTCACCATGTTCTTTTAAATTGCTTTGATAAATCCATTTCCTTTGGTGAATGTAAGAGTATGGAATTTCTTAGTGCTTCTGACATTAAAACTTGTTTAAAGGAAAATGAAAAGGTATACATGATCTTAGCTTCATTAACAGTTGAGACTGATAGTAAGCTAGATGAGATTCTCTTAGTGAGAGAATTTTCAGAAGTATTTCCTAAGAATGTGTCTAGTTTACCACCTGAGAGAGAGATTGAGTTCAGCATAGATTTAGTGCCAGGTACCGCACCCATATCTATAGCACCCTATAGGATGTCTCCTAAAGAGTTAGTTGAGCTAAAGAAACAAATAGAGGAACTACAAGAAAAACAATTCATTAGGCCTAGTGTTTCACCTTGGGGAGTGCCTGTTTTATTGGTCAAGAAGAAAGATGGGAGTATGAGGTTGTGCGTAGATTATAGGCAATTAAATAAGGTGACCATTAAGAATAAGTATCCCTTACCTAGGATAGATGACCTTATGGATCAATTAGTTGGGGCTTGTGTGTTTAGTAAAATAGATTTAAGGTCAGGATACCATCAGATTAGAGTGAAAGTTGAGGATGTTCCTAAGACTGCCTTTAGGACTCGATATGGGCACTATGAGTATTTAGTGATGCCTTTTTACATGAATAGGATCTTTCACCCATACTTGGATAGATTTGTAGTAGTCTTCATAGATGATATCCTAGTGTATTCCAAGACCAGGGAGGAGCATGCCAAACACCTTAGGATCGTTCTTCAAACCCTTAAGGAAAAATAGTTGTATGCTAAATTGTCAAAATGTGAATTTTGGTTGGAGAGTGTAAATTTTCTAAGGCATGTGATATCCAAGGATGGAATAGTTGTAGATCCTTCTAAGGTAGAGGCGGTTCTTGAATGGAAAACACCTAAGTCAGTTTTTGAGATTAGGAGTTTTCTAGGACTAGCTGGGTATTATAGGAGATTTATAGAGGGTTTTTCTAAATTAGCTTTACCCTTGACCAGATTGACTAGAAAGAACCAGCCTTTTGTGTGGGATTCTAGGTGCGAGGAAAGTTTTCTAGAGCTTAAGAAGAGATTAACTAGTGCCCCTGTGTTAGTATTACCTGACCCTAGCAAGACTTTTGAGGTATTTTGTGATGCTTCCAAATTAGGTTTAGGTGGAGTACTTATGCAGGAAGGTAGGGTAGTAGCTTATGCGTCTAGACAACTTAAGACCCATGAACAAAACTATCCTACCTATGACCTTGAATTAGCCACAATAGTATTCATGCTTAAGTTGTGGAGGCACTACTTGTTTGGATCTAGATTTGAGGTGTTTAGTGATCATAAAAGCCTTAAGTACTTGTTTGACCAAAAGGAATTAAATATGAGGCAGAGAAGATGGTTAGAGTTTCTTAAGGATTATGACTTTCAGTTGAACTATCACCCCGGCAAAGCTAATGTTGTGGCTGACGCTTTGAGTAGGAAATCTCTGAGAGTGTCTTCCTTGATGATTAGGGAGTTGTGTATGATTGAAGAATTTAGGGATATGAGTTTAGGGTGTGAACTAACCTCTAAGAGTATTAGGTTGGGAACCTTGAAAGTAACCAATAACTTGATAGATGAGATTATGGTAGGTCAGAAGATAGATCCTTTCTTATTGAATCAAATTGAGAAGTTGAATCAAGGTGTGAAGAACGAATTTAGATTTGGAAAGGATGGAGTGTTAAGATTTAGGGATAGGTTGTGTATTCCTAGTGTACCAGAGCTTAAGAGAGCAATCCTTGAAGAGGGTCATAGGAGTATTCTCAGTATTCATCCTGGTGCCACTAAGATGTACCAAGACCTTAAGAAGATGTTTTGGTGGCCTAAGATGAAGAGGGAAGTGGAGGAATTTGTGTATGCCTGCCTAGTATGTCAAAAAGCTAAGGTAAAACACCAAAAACCTTCAGGTCTGATGCAACCTTTAGATGTGCCTGTGTGGAAATGGGATAACATCTCTATGGATTTCGTAGTTAGGTTACCTAAGACTGTGAAGAACTTGGATGCTATATGGGTCATTATGGATAGATTAACTAAGTCTGCCCATTTTATTCCCATTAATATTAGGTACTCTTTGGAGAGGTTAACCAAGTTGTACATCAGTGAGATCGTGAGGTTGCATGGAGTTCCTAATAGTATAGTGTCTGATAGAGATCCTAGGTTCACCTCTAGATTTTGGGAGAGTTTGCATAAGGCTTTAGGCACTAAGCTTAGATTGAGTTCAGCCTACCATCCCCAAACAAATGGCCAAACTGAGAGAACCATACAATCTTTGGAAGACTTGTTGAGGGCTTGCATCTTGGAACATGGGGGTAGTTGGGATAGTTTCCTACCTTTGATAGAGTTTACCTACAACAATAGCTACCATTTCAGTATTGGGATGGCACCATACGAGGCTCTGTATAGAACACCTTTATGTTGGGTAGAACCTGGAGAGAATGCCATGTTAGGACCTGAGGTAGTTCAACAAACTACTGAACAGGTTAAGATGATCCAGGAGAGGATGAAAGCAGCCCAGAGTAGGCAAAAGAGCTACAATGACAAGAGGAGAAAAGATCTTGAGTTTAATGAGGGAGATCATGTATTCATTAAAGTTACTCCTTGGACAGGAATAGGCAGAGCACTAAAATCCCGTAAGCTTACTCCACGTTTCATTGGTCCTTATCAAATTCTTAAAAGAATCGGTGAAGTAGCCTATCAAATTGCCTTACCTCCATCCCTTTCGAATCTTCATAATGTCTTTCATGTTTCCCAACTCAGAAAGTATGTCCATGATCCCTCCCATGTCATTGAGTCTGACAATATTCAGTTGAAAGATAATCTCACCTATGAAACAATTCCTTTAAGAATTGATGATACGAGGGTGAAACAACTAAGAGGAAAGGAAATTCCTTTGGTTAAGGTCGTTTGGGGAGGAAATTTTGAAGAAAGTGCTACCTGGGAATTAGAAAGCAAAATGCGTGAAGATTATCCATTTCTATTTGCATCAGGTAATTTCGGGGATGAAATTTCTAAAAGGAGGGGAGAAATGTAACATCCCAAATTTTATTCAATGAAAAGAGTTACTTTTTATTTATTATGTGAATAAGTATTTTATCCACGTATTTTACTGTTCACATATTTTACTATTTACGTATTTTACTATTCACGTATTTTACTATTTATGTATTTTTGAATAGTATTTTATACGTATTTTTGAATAGTAATTTATACAAAATTTTCGTGGATGAACAGTAAATTCTGCAAAATTCTCGTGAATGCACAGTGACCTGATGAATAGTAACTTATAATATTATAATAATGCATAGTAACTTGCATAGTAACTTAATAATTCCTATAAATAGGGGCTAGGGGTTGAAGGAAATTCATAACTAGAGAGAAGGAAATTCTAGAGAGATAGAAAGGGAGAGTAAGAGAGAAGAGGAGAAAGAAAAGGAGGTTCTGCTCTAGTGCCGATTCTTGTTTAAGAAGAAAGAGGAAGAGATTCTGCCCTAGTTCCGATTTCCTTTTTAAGGATAGAAAGGAGGAGATTGTGCTCAAATTCTGTCTATCCAGGTAAGGGGGGAGTGGGAAACCTCGCTTGGGGGTGTAGGGATAATTGTTAAATAAATTATTTGTTGGATTGGCTCCCGATCCCTTGTCTGTTGTTTGTTTCTTTGAAGAGGCATTATTAATGTATTTTATTTGTACTACTTGATTTCTTTGTTGTGATAATTAATAAATATGTAATTAATGGATAATTTCACTAAAGATGCTCCCTGTGAATACCTTTGCACATTTTATATGGATATTAAATATCTAAGATAATCTTAACTACTAATTTTACTTTTATTATTTTAAAATATTCATTAAATGGAAGGTTGAGCTTCCTATTAATTTATAAATTAGAATTTATTATCTAAATGGAAGGCTGAGCCTCCTATTAAGTTATAAATTGGAATATATCATCTAAATGGAAGGCCGAGCCTCCTTATTTTCATTTATTTTCTATTAAGTTTCCTACTTTACTTAAGGATTTAAATATACCATGAAAATATAAATTATATGATACCTAAGCTACCTTTAGACTATTGGACTATCGAACTAGATTATTGGACAATTGAAATAAAATATGATCAAAAGAATAAAATATGATAAACTTCTGTAATTAGTTGCATCATGAGTCAATGAATGTATGATATGCATCATATGCATATATGAATTCTAGGTGTGCCGCTGAGGCCGCATACCGGTGATGCTAACAAGGTGTACCTTAGGGTCACCGACAGTTGTGATATGCTAATAAGGTGTACCTTAGGGTCACCGACAGTTGTAATAAGGTGTACCTTTGGGTCACTGGTGATGATAAATGAAACTTCCTTATGGCGCCACATGCATATCTTTGTGAGTCAAGTCAATGACATCATTGCATGATATATGAGCATATATGTGA